TGAAATCATCTTTATCTGGATTATTTCAACTGCCCACTCAGCTAGAAAGCCAATTATTCTAGACTTCAGTAAAAACAAAGGAGTTACCAGTTCTTGGCAGAGCAACTTACATAATCATAAGCAAGCTAGGTTGAAGCAAATCTAGAATATTCTAGCATGTGAAAACAGTTGGGTTTTTATTTAAATCAGTTAAGAAGCTTACATATATGGACACCTTTTCAAATTCAAGGTGCACCTTCAGTATCTAGGTCTATTTTGAAACAAAACGTTTTTATTTAATAAGATTTGACCCATTTATTTAAGCTGCTAAAAGCCTTTTAGACAACATAATAAAGGTTATGTGAAGGAAATCATAAAAATACATTATTTGGTACCTAAAAATAGTATTTGTGGAACTCTTACGGTGTGCCAGGCACAGTTCTCAATGCCTCATACTTTTGTATTTACTCCTCACAATAATTACTGTTATACTAATTTTCTTGCTCTGGAAGATAGAGGGTAGAAGCAAACTTGCTCAAGGTCACACAGGGCAGTAAGTGACAGAGCTAAACACAGGTAAAAGTCCAAAGCTTAAAGTCATCATGCAGTTTAGTTAAAAACAAAACAAAACACAAAGAAAACCCCAAAACACTAAAGAAATATTTTTAGACTGCAGAATCCATTTATCAGTTGCCATCTGACATGCATGGCTGCTGTGGTTTAAGTGGGGCCTTCCCAACTTCCCAACTTGACATAGACGTTGAGTCTCATCTTTGATCCATGTGTAAAAGCCCAGAGGGATAAACTGACCTGCTCGAAGTCATAAAACTACTTATGGCAAAACCTGGACAGGAATGTAAGTCTTCTGCTTGCCTGGCCAGTATTGTTCCTGCTGCAGGCCATGCGTCTGTAGGTCTGTTGCTTGACGTGAATCTTGGTGTGTAGCACGCACTAATGTTAGGGTTGCCTCTGGGCACCTGGGTGGCTCAGTCTTTAGCATCTGACTTCAGCTCAGGTCATGATCTTACGGTTCGGGAGCTTGTGTCCTGCTCCGGGTGAGCCCCACTTCTCTCTTCCTCTCATGGAATTCCCTTTCTCCTCTTCCTTTCTCTCTGCACCTTGCTCACTTGTGCCCTCCCTCTCTCTCTCTCAAAAAAAAAAAAAAAAAAAAAGTTATGGTTGCCTTCTATTGTATCTTTAGATCCTCCTACCTTCTCAGCTGAGATGGGCTCTGCACTAAACTTTATACAAGTGGAACAGAAAATGAGAGTAGTTTTATTGTTCTTGTCCTCACATGCTGGGCTCATAAGCCAGTGGGTCGTATTCCTGTCACCTCCTTCTATCTGCTGTTGCTTTCCCCAAATGCACTGGAGTGGAGTACAGGGTGGAAATTTGCCCTTGTAAAGTTCTCACACCTTCCAGGTACTTTCTCATGCATCTGCGTGGAGTCTGGTATACAATAGTGTGAAGCACATGCCGATTTTTCTTTATAGCTCTCCAAGTTGCTGGGATTTCGGCCCCAGTGACAGCTCTAAGATGTGCAATGTCTCTGCGATATGTGATCTTAGAACCCTTTTGTTGCTTTGGAGTCAAGAATCTATCTTTCTCTCTTTCTTTCTTTCTCTCTCTTTTTTCCTTCCTTCCTTTCTTTCTTCTTTCTTTCTTCCTTCCTTCCTTCCTTTCCTTTCCTTCTTTCTTTCTTTTCCTTCCTCCCTCCCTCCCTCCCATCCTTCCTTTTTTTTTTTTTTTGGAGTTCCAAGGATCCTAGCCGCTTGTTAATGTGTGGGAGGATTTCCTTCGTGGGAAGGGCTAAGGCTTGCGAACACCAGCCCTGAGCTGCTCCTGTTAGCACAGTCTCCGCACGTTTGTTGTTCTGCTTTGGGTGTCTCACTGCCTAGACCCTCGGTGCTGTGACTTTGTCATCCAGTGGTCCTGTGTACCTCAGAGCCCGTTGGCTGGCTTTAGCTTGTCATTTTTTCAGGTGAACGCTTTGTACCATTAAGCTTACATTTGGGCCTTTTTACAAATGAATGTTTGCTGTTGTGTGACAGCAGATTTTGAGGTCTGCTTCCCATTCCTTCCACTATGACTTTTCCCTGCTGCTGTGTCCCCTTAATGTTTATGGAAAGAAGTTTAATGTGACATAAGCTAAATAAAGTGTTTTTCATAATTTTGGCTTTAAAAATGTATTTGTTGGGAATATAAGAACTTTCAATAATTAGGCTTAAGTAGTCCATGTTCCCATTGTATTCTGAATTCTATTTTACGTTTGCAGCACCCTTTAAGAATTTGGTGAAAACCATGGACACTCTTCCCAGAAAAAGGTACATAAGCAACAAACACTTGCCTACAATTTCAGGAGGGTTAGGAATCTGTCTTAAGCTGTCAAAGACTTGAAAGAAAAAATTTTTTTAATGTTTATTTTTGAGAGAGACAGTGCCAGTGGGGGAGGGGCAGAGAGAGAGAGGGGGACACAGAATCTGAAGCAGGCTCCAGTCTCTGAGCTGTCAGCACAGAGCCTGATTTGGGGCTCGAACTCATGAACCACGAGATTGGACACTTTATCGACTATGCCACCCAGGCGCCCCTGTCAAAGACTTTTTAAACAGCAGCGATTTAATCTTTGGTCAACTAATCTCACCCTAGTGATTTAGGACCACAGGCACTGTGTGTCCAAATAAAATGCAGCTCACACATATAAAAGTCCTGGTTTGCAGTGCATCCATTATTTGGGTAGATTTTCTGTAAGTACCCCCATCTAAGTATTGTACTCCATTAGGGATGGGGAGAAAAATTATTTATTCATACTGAAGTTATCTTAATGCCAATAGTTGCTTAAAAATGTCCCTCCCTTGTGGGGAATGGAAGATGCAAAACCTCTTAAAGTTGTAAAACAGATGATCTCAGGACAAGTGTCTGGGAATATAAAAGCTCAGGACAAGAGCTTGGAGTGAAGGAAGGCCTGTTGAGGGTGAGGGTAGTGTTTAGAAGCCTGGAGTATAGACTCAAGACTCAAAGACCCTTATTTTGAGAATGTATGGGCACAATTAGGCTTTAAAATGTAGACACTTTTCTTTCACTGCAACTTTGACTTGCTCCAGTCAAAGGTTTCTAGAACCATCGCCTCCTTTGGACTGGAAGGAAGAGAAGGAGGTCAAGATTCTACAAAACTGGAGCAAGGACCTTCTAACCAACTCAGTGACTTAGAGCAAAGGCTTGGGTACCATTTTCCCCTTAAATGTCCCTCTGGGACTTTTGTAATCCATGAAAAGAAAGGAATTATTTATTTTTAATGTTTTATTTATTTCTGAGACAGATAGTGCGAGCAGGGGAAGGTCAGGAGGAGAGGGAGACACAGAATCTGAAGCAGGCTCCAGGCTCTGAGCTAGCTGTCAGCACAGAGCCCGATGCGGGGCTCGAATCCATGAACCCGTGAGATCATGACCTGAGCTGAAGTCAGATGCTCAAGTGACTGAGCCACCCAGGTGCCCCAGAAATGAATTATTTTAAAGTATCAAAAGGCTTAGCAGTTTAAGGAAAAAAAAAGTACCTGAGGCGTCTGGGTGGCTCGGTTAGGTATCTGACTCTTGATCTTAGCTGAGGTCTTGATCTCAGGGTTGTAAGTTCAAGCCCTATAACTGGGCTCTTCACTGGGTATGAAGCTTACTTAAAAAAAAAAAAATTTTTTTTTAAGTGCCCTTTTCTCCCTATCAAACGCTTTCATCAATTTGGTAAAGTGAAGACTGAGTCTCTTCCAACTGGCCCTTTTACGTCTAGCTGCTCAGGAACCTGCACATGTCTTGGGGATGTCTGACCCACGGAAGGGGCCCCTGGCGCTGAGTCTGGGCTTCATCCACAGGCAAGTGTCCTTGGCTTCCCCTGAGGTCTGTGCTGGGCAGAAGAGGCGAGGGGGTCCCGATGGAGGTGACCTTTAAGTCAGTGGTGTCTCCCCCGTGTCAAGAGCTACAGGTTAGGAACAGTTGACCTAGGAACTGGGTCAGTGACTTCTAATTCCTATACCATTTGTTAAAATCTGTTCGCTTTGGAGAGAGCTGGGGATAGAAAAATCTGGGTGAAAGCAACATTTCCTTTGTACCCACCTTCACTGATATGCCCTCATCACTCCCTACAGCACTGGAGGGCCACACACTGGATAATTTCTACATATACAGGTTGTGGGAGTTTAGATCTCCTATGTTATTCTGTACAAAGTTAAATAAAAATATACAGCTTAGCTTAGAATTAAAACCAATAAATCCCCCCAAATATATATTTTTTAAAAGTTTATTTATTAGGGCGCCTGGGTGGTTCAGTCGGTTAAGCATCCAACTTTGGCTCAGGTCATGATCTCACGGTTGGGGAGTTTGAGCCCTGCACCAGGCTCTGTGCTGACAGTGTAGCAGGTTTCTTGCACGGAGAGTCGTAACACTGAGGCTTTACTTTCCAGAAAGCAACTTTATTCGTGCCGGCACAGGCTCAGTTGGCTCTGTACCTGAAAAGTTGAACCCCAAACCTCAGGTGGTGTAGCCTTTTATGCATTTTCTATTGCTTTGTCTCCCACATATGGGTAATGTACAGGCATACAGTCTCATCAGGTGGTCTCATGTTACAGGGTCCTGAGGGATGTCACGTATGCACATAGCCAGGTTGCCTTCCCTTATCTTGAGGTCTTTTCTTACCACATTCCTTAGGGAGGGGCCTCTACCACAACAGCTCTGAGACTTGAAGCCTGTTTCAGATTCTGTGTCTCCCTCTCTCTGGCTCTGGCTCTCAAACAGACATTAAAAAAAATTAAAAATGAAACATTTATTTTGAGAGAGGCAGAGAGAGGGGGACAGAGGATCCAAAGTGGGCTATGGGCTGGCAGCAGAGCACCTGCTGTTGGGGCTCGAACCCACAAATCCTGAGATGAAGACCTGAGCTGAAGTCGGGCGCACCACTCCCTCCCCGGCAATTAATTTTTGTGCTATGTAAGGTTACGCATAACACTTAATTTGTAACATAATCCAGTGCAACAAAAGTATGAGTATTTGTTTTAATGAGAAACATTTGAGTTGGACATACCACAAACCGCTTCAAGTTTCTGGAGCAACCTCCCTCCCCCCATGGCCAAACAGCTAAACAATACCTGAAGCATCACTTTAAATGTGAAAAGTCTTATAAAATTAACTTACAAAAACATCCTATCAAGTAGCTTGGCATTTACTGTACATTAGTCAAAAGCTCCAGCTAAAATCTGATTTTTTTAAAAAAATCAAAGTTTACATTATTCATACAGATCCAGCATTGTTAAAAAATATGCACAAATAACCACATCCATGCAATATAATTTCTTTAAAAATTTAAAGCAATATAAAAGAGCAGACCTAAGTACAGAACAGAATGTTTTGGTTTATCACGTGTAGCTCAAGATTGCTAGCTGATTGGAGTAAAATTAATTCTAAACCTCCTGAATAGGATTGTTTCAGTCAATCAGCTAAGGGTGTGGGTGAGTTTCCGAACCACTTCTAAGCCTGTTTCGGAAAGATGGGGTGAACGCTACTGTTCGCTGAGCACAGTAGCTACATTTTAAGGTCGTTTTTCCAAATAAATCGGAATCTCGGCTCTTCAGGAAACTGCAGTTTTCAGAGATCCCAGACCGATCAATTTAGCCGTCAAACTGCCTGAGGCGCCTGCTGCCCGGGCTCCCTGCCCCCGGGGAGGAATGCCACTGGGAAGCCCTCTCCAGCCAGCCTGGAGGGGGGTGTCCACAGTAAGGCCCCGGAGGGTCACTCACTCACTGCCGATGCGCCTGGAGCGAGGCGCCCGCGAAGCTGGGCGGGGCCTCTAGGTGGGAGGCGGCCCGTTGGTGTACCGCAGCATGGGGTAGAAGGACCTGGCGAAGTTGTTGGCCTGCGTGCAGCTGTAGTCGTCTTCCGAGGCGGGCAGCAGGCAGGCCAGGAGCAGCAGCAGCAGCAGCAGCAGCTGCAGGGGCAGCGCCGCCCGGATCACCCGCGACAGGAAGGAGCGCCGTGGCCGCGAGCTGCCCGGCCCGGGCACCCTGCCGACAAGACAGAAGCGGTGAGCACGGGGCTCCAGAGGCCACGCCCCCTGAGTCATCTGACCCCTGCTCGCGAAGGACACACCCGGGGCCTGAGATGATTAAAACTGAGGTTCAGTTCTGGAAAGGCAGCCCAGCCCTTTTTCCAGCCTAAGAAAACAAGTCACTTGGGTTCTTACAAAGACCTCAAGCATGGCTTTGGCAAGACGGGTGAGCAGCGTGTGCGTGCGTGCGTGCGTGCGTGCGTGCGTGTGTAGCAGAGGACTCAATTCCCCCTACCTGCTGTCCGCCGTGTTCTGGTCTTTCGTCATTCTCTCTGCTCCGAGCTGCTGGATAAAAACAACCCTGTTAGAAACTGAAGATTGTTTAGTCCTGTCCATGATAAAACCTCCTTCCTTTTTAAATTATACACCTTCCTGAGCTCATCTTCCTGCCAAGCTTTTGAGACCAGGCAAATACATTCGGGATTCTACTCCATGCGGTAAGAAATCATTGGCTTTGTTAAGCTCACAAGAGTTTCGCATTCTAGTTTGTTGATCTGCTGTTAATGGGGAAGAGATTGGGAAGGCACTCACTTCAATAACCCCAGAAGGGGTCCCATCATTCACAGCCTACATGGGGCCTTGGAGTCTCTAGTTCCTATCTTCTCTGTAGTTTTTTTTTTTTTTTTAATGTTTTTATTTATTTTTGAGAGACAGAGCATGAATGCAGGAGGAACAGAGAGAAAGGGAGACACAGAGTCTGAAGCAGGCTCCACGCTCTGAGCTGTAAGCACAAAGCCCGATGTGGGGCTCGAACTCACGAACCGTGAGATCATGACCTGAGCCGAAGTCAGTCGCTTAACTGACTGAGCCACTCAGGCGCCTCCCTGTCCTCTCAGTAACTCTGAAAAATAACCAGCGTTTTTCTTGTGGCAGAAAGGGGCTCTCACCTTGGCTTGGGGAGCTGGTGCAGGCGCTGCTGGAGGCTGGTCTCCAGAGTCTACCTCGTCCATGCTGGGCAGAGATGGGTCTGGGTTCTGAAATCCATACCCCAAGGGTTCAGTTCAGGGAAACAGAGGGTTCTGAATAGTCCCCAGAGCACACAAATGTGCTTCATGCAGCTTCACTGCTCTGCTCCTCCCTTCCCCCGCTGAAAGAGCTCCCTCTTCCAGAAATCTTTAACAGACTTTTCCAGACAGAAAAGAATGTAAACAAGGCAAGACCAACCGCAGCATTAAAAACTCATAGCATACACAGGGGAGACCGAGTTTAGCTGCATCTAGGGGGACAGAATCAGTTGACAGTGAGCATGCCAGCTGTGCCGAAGCGATCGCATGGCCATCAACACAATATAGCGTTGGCTGCACAGGTGGAAATGTCCCTCTAGAATGGAGGGGACAGGCCTCCCTTAAGTGTGGTGAGGCCATCGTCTGGGTATCCACTCATTCTGAGTTGGATCACATTTGAAAGAGAAGAAAGTGGAAAAATGAGAGAGTGGTCAGAAGAGAGAGCCCAGGACAGTGAAGGAAGACTCTCAAGTCTGTTCCACATGAAGGCAAGACAGAAATGATAGAGGGATCAGACTTGTTTTCATGTGCCAGCCTGAGGCACACATTGTTATCTCCCTCTTGCAAACAAGAGGACAAAGAGCTTGCCTAACTTTCTAAAGCCACCCAGGTAGGAAGGGGCGGGACTCGAGGCTCCACGCAGATGGCCTGCTTACAGCCTCCCTCCCACAGCGAGGCCACCATATACCACTTTCTTGTTTGCATCTGATACAATGTGTATTTAAAAGCCACAAGTGGACTCACCTGGCTTCCCTGCAAGGACATTAAGTCTTGAGACACTTGCTCAAGTAACTGTTTGAGTTTCTTCTCAATAACGTGTACCTTCTCTTCAGCCTCAATATAGTCTTCGCCATGCCCCTTAATAAGAAGGCTGTTTGAAATCTCTTGTAAGGTGTTTACTTGAGGTTCACGTTCCACGAGCTCCGTTTTCAGTTGCTAAGAATAAAAAAGTATGTGAAACGCCTGGCCACTGTGGCCAGATGGGATTTTCTTTATGCCAGGACAGTTCCGGGATGAATGATGGGTGGTGGTCAACTCCAGAACATTCTACCAGTTATATGTATCTGTGTGTGCCCTCATGCCTAGCATCATTTGGGCAGCAAGTAGGTGACACCCTGCCCCTATTTTCCATTCCTTTTCTTTCTGGAGACAACTTGATGCTGGAGGAGTTGGAGGAAAGCAGCGAGGGGAAGACTAGACCTTTGTCCACCGCAGTAGCAAAGTCAAGGAAAAATCTAAATTGGGTAAGTGGAGAAACAGCAGCTTAGGCATACTGTTTAGGAACAGAGGCCCGTGTTTGGCAAATCAGCCTGTATTACTGATTACCTTGCTTGCTGTCCCTTTTGGTAGCCGCCACACAACATTGGGCTATTTAAAATTACAATTCAGTCTCTGTCACAATAGCCACATTTCAGCTGCTTAAGAGCCACCTGTGGCTAGTGGCCATCAGACTCGCATGCGCGAGTGGGGGATGGGCAGAGAGAGAGAATTCAAGCTCCAGGTTCTGAGCTGCCAGCACAGAGCCTGACATGGAACTCGAACCCACAAACTGTGGGATCAAGACCTGAGCTGAAGTCGGACACTTAACCGATGGAGCCACCCAGGTACTCTTATTTTTAAGAGGTGCCTGGGTGGCTCAGTCAGTTGAGTGTCCAACTCTTGATTTCATCTCAGGTCATGATCTCATGGTTCATGGGACTGAGCCCTGCATTGAGCTCTGCCTCCTTGGGTGCAGAGCCTCCTTGGGATTCTCTCTCTTCCTCTCTTTCTCCCTTTCTAAGTAAACATTTAAAAAAAAAAAAGTTAAAAAAATTTTTTAAATGTTTATTTTTGAGAGAGTGTGTGAGTGGGGGAGGGGGAGACAGAGCGAGAAAGAGACACAGAATCTGAAGCAGGTTCCAGGCTCTGAGTTGTCAGCACAGAGCCTGGCATGGGGCTCGAATTCACGAATGTGAGATCATGACCTGAGCTGAAGTTGGATGCTTAACCAACTGAGCCACCTGTGCGCCGCCACCCCCCCCAAATATTTTTAAAATAATGACCAGTACTTTAAATTTAAACTCATTATAATTGAACCACCTACAAATTTATGGATAAGAATGTCACCTGGTTAGTGAAATAAATGTATTAAAACACAACTATCCTTCAAAAAATGACTTTTCAATAGTAGATTTAGAAAACTCTTACAACTCGCTGTGTCTGTGGTGTAACTGAGCATATTTCTGCCCAGGTGAGTCCTATTCACAAAGGAGAAAATACTTCTAATCAAATGGCCTTACGTTTCTCAGGATATTGCTAAACGCCTATGTCCCCAGCTCCTGAGAGTCTTAAAGATTTCCTGCTTTTAGCCCTGGGCCTTCATCCCTGCAAGTCGTCCTGCTTCAGAATGACTATGAAGGGATGCGCAGTAGTAGCTAGCGACTGGAACAGGAGAGCAAAACGCCACACTGGTGTTGTTCCCAGGAACAGGAGGGGCGGCTCCCTGAGTCCCACCCACCAGAGGCCAGCGGCAGTGCAGGACCCTAGGAAGAAACTTACCATCAGTTCTTCCTGACACTCCAGGAGCATCTGGGGGTCTGCCTCTGGGTCCGTGACGCGCGCTTTCTGCCTCCGGCTCTCGGCACTCGCTAACCACAGTAGCAGATCTTGACTCAACTGGTGGAAGTCCTTTAAAAACACACACACACACACACAACGTGTCACAGTATTGCCTTTTCTCTAAAGGCAGGTGTGCCGAGAAGCAGCTTGCTGTGTTAGGCCTTCAGAGTGTTTGCTCTTCTCTTTGTCCGATGAATAAAAGGGCCAGATTTTAACTAAACGCCAGGGCCCCCAGACAAGGAAAAGGGAGAACAGGAAAGAGGTTGCAGTTGGCACAGTCCCGGGAGGCGTGGTGCGGGTCGTCGAGAGACAAGTGGCAGCAGACAGGCCGGCCTTCACCATGCCACCCCTGCTATGACACACAAAGACCACGCAAACCACTCCACGGCAAAGGGAGACACCCCAACAGGACGGGCCACAGCCCAGGGACACACGGGCACGGGGTCTTGCTAGGGGGCTCGTGTTCCTGGACGCAGGGTCAGAGCTAACACGGGATGAGCATTTACCCTGTGTCAAGTGCTAGGCTGACATTAGCTCGTGAGGTAGGGACTAAAATGATTCCCAGTTTTCAGATGAGAAAACAGAGGTCTAGCAGGCACAGTGATGTGCCCAAAGTCACACAGCCACTAAAGCTCTAGGGTTGGGTTAAAGCACTCCCGGTCCTGGGCCAGGTCTCTCCATCGCTCTGCGATCCGTACGGTGGTCCTGGCAAAATGACAGAGATGGGGCAGCGTGGGGTGGCGTTTCTGACTGACTGGAACGCTCGCCGGAACTCTGACGCTAGGAATGGGCTGGGGCGGCTGAGCAGGAGACAGAGGCCGGGCGGCGTGTCGCTGGGACAGCAGCTGAGCCTCTTGGAAACGAACGATAAAGCACATGTCTCTTAACACAAGCTGTATTTGTGTGCCAAAGCAGCCTGACTAGGATAAAAATATCTGCCTCTCCCCCCCACGTGGGCCGGGCTGCACCCGGGACCGGGCGCTGGGGGCCGGTGTACCTGGCACTGCACGAGGGCCCTCCGCAAGCTCTCTCTCCATCTCTCCGCCGCGCCCCGTGCCGCGTCCCAGTGCAGTGCCAGCTGGCCGACTCGACCCTGGAGCTCTTTGGACTCCGCGCTCTCAGTCTGCAGAAACTCCTTGCTGCTCATGTTGACAGAGACCACCAGGGCCTTGTAGGTGTCAAAGGCTTTTAGGATTTCCTACCGCAGAGGGAAAAGATTGGGTTAGGCGTTCTGAAAATAGCGGTGTGGGGTTCATTTGAACCTCAGCGGGGAACGGATCTGCCAAACGCCTCTCTAAGCTGTGGCTGCAGAAGCAAGAGCGAACTTGCCTACAACTGGCTGGGCGATGTCAGGTGAGGAACTGCCTCACGAGGTCAGTGACCTGGGCTGGCCAGGCCGGGAGCAGAGGCCTGGCTCCTGGCAGGTCAACTCAGCCACAGGCACGAATGGAGCCCGCCGAGTCCCGGCTGGCTTATTTCGGGACCAGATTAGAAGTCTTTCAGATAAAGTACATGGCGTGATCCTGCATGAACCTTAGATATCACAGAAGTATTATTCCTTGGGGTAAATAGTGATCCTAGATATACTGATGCACAAAGGAAAATAATAATACCAATGTGAAGACTGCCTGGATACCCCAAACCCCTGTCCTGGGTAGTCTTAGGAGCTCAGGCTCAGGCTCAGGTGCCCCCCTCACCTCCCCTGCAAAGTGTAGGGCTCACCTGCCCCGCCCCTGCTCCCTGGCTAGTTCTAGTGAGGCAATGGCTGGCTATGTGGGTGACAAGTTCTAACTGTGTAACAGAGTGACCACATCAGGCCACAGAATTCATCAGCAGGTGAGCTGATCCTCCCCCCAACTCCATTCTCAATGCTCCCCCACCAGCCTGGACTGCACAAGTTTGGAAGGGTGTTTTTAGGCTGCCTGGTGGTGGCCCCCAGGACCTTCTTAAGAGTCTAGAAGGGTCTCTGAAGTCAGCTCTCTCCAGCACAGGGGGTCGGAGCCACACCTCCCCAGAGCCACTTGGAGCTTTTGGGAATCAGGAGCCGATGCTCTTCTGCCTGAAAACAAAAATCTACATCTGCATCCTTACCCATTACAGAAGTGGATTGGGACAGACTGACGGCTATACTTGCTTGCAGCCTGCCACCTATACCGCTGACAGCTGTGATCTGCTGGTCCTGCAACTCAAGCGTCCACATGCACGTTCTGGGTCCCTCTTCCCCCCAGACCTCCCCCTCACCTTGAGCTGCTTCACTCTGAGTTCCATTTCGTGGAGACCCGAGGGAGGGTCTGCTGTCATTAACGTCTCCAGCTCTGCTTCCGTTTTTTTCAGCCAAGTGGTGATGTCGCTGATCTTGGAGTTGAGCTGTTGCAAGTTTTGTTTTATTCTGAGTTGATTGTGAAGTTCTTGTGCTTGAATCAGCTCCCATCTGTCAAAGGCACCTGGAATACAAAGTCGCCGGTAAAAAGCAGCAGTAGCGCCAACCAGTCTCCAACTAGTCCAGGGTCAGGGTGAAGAAACCTGAATGGGGATGCTCCTTGCAGGCTGCTGGGCTTTTGGAGTCATCGCTTCCCCCTTCCTGTGGTTCAAGGCCAGTGCCGCCACCCTCCCATAAAGGCTGGGATGAGGTGGGGAGTGGGCTATGAGACCCGACACGGTGCCAACATGCACTGCAGTTCCAATGCTCAGCATTTCAGTTTAAGCTGTTTTTAGGTGCCTTCTCTTCGGGTTCACGAATGATCAGGTCAATTCTATCAGTTCACCTTTTGGCTTAGTTGAATCACTACTTTTATGATCATTGAACTGGTCTCATGAGGAGACACCTGACGGCTCTTTCGTCATCCTCTTCATGTCTGATCTTCATGTCTGTCTTCATGTCTGATGCTACTGATATACAAGTAGAATCATTAAAACAGTACTTCATGTGAGGCTCATTTGGTCAATATTTAAAAAATAGTTCTGAAGGGCGCCTGGGAGGCTCCGTCAGTTGAACATCCGACTTCAGCTCAGGTCTTGCAGTTTGTGGGTTTGAGCCCCGTATCAGGCTCTATGCTGAGAGTTTGGAGCCTGGAGCCTGCATCTGATTCTGTGTCTCCCTCGCTTTCTGCCCCTCCCCCTCACTCTCAAAAGTAAACAAACATTAAAAAAAAGAATAGTTTTGAAAATAAAAAGCCTAGGAATTTGTTCATGAATACAAGTCAGCCGATTTAAAAAATTACAAAAATTTTTTTTAAAGTAATCTCTTTACCCAACGTGGGGCTCGAACTTGCAACCCCAGGATCAAGAATCGCATGCTCTGCTAACTGAGCTGGCTAGGTGCCCTACAAGTCAGCAGATTCTAAAATAACAGTGGCTGCCGTAGGCTGTTTAGCAGTTTTGGTGGAGTGTAGTTGGTCAATTCTTAATTAATCTTCTGTCGAGCAATGACTTAAATGTTCAACTAACCCAAAATACAGACTTGACTGGTCCTGACAACTGCCTAATTTATCTGTACCTGAGTGTTGCCTGGTGAGAGCAGTCAGTCCCTCATCTTCCTGCTGTGAGCTGCTGTTCAAGACTCTGGCGCTTTCTTTGCCACCATCAGTGCCCGGGGATAGCAGCAGCTTTACCTGGAATGAACCGATTTTTACGTTACCACTGATAAATTTCAAAGGCTGTATGAAGAGTATCTTGATTCATTGCAACAGGTAGGAAATGAAGATATGGGCTCCCTTTCCTTCTAATGTTAATACTACATTATTAATAATTTTTAATATATAATGATTATAATAGTAATATGGAGATTCTTTAGTGTATTAGGTGGATTTATAAGCAAGCAGAGCTAATGGCAGAAATAAAGTCTTAGTAAGGCCCAAGATGGGTTGCGGGGGAGCAGGGGAAGGTCAGTATTGGAAATCAAGTGGCCTAATTCAGGGCCTCCTAACACTCCTCAAAAGAAACCTGCCAAGAAAAGTTAAAAATCACCATTGAGCTACCAGGCTGTTAATGTGCGCACACTTTCACTCTTGCAGAGTGTTCTGCAAAATGGAGCCATCCCCCCTCATCACTCTGTGGGGCTGGTTGGCAGATTATCCCCAAGATAATCTGAGGGCACATCGGCCTCCAGGGGTCATTCATGACCAAGCATTTATCTTTCCCTGCACATATTGACTCTTCTGTTAGTGTGGAGCTGACTGGGCTATTATCTCAGGCCTTTCCAAAAATAAAGGTATCCTTTTCAGAAAAGCCATGCTTTTTTTGGTTTGTGTCCAGATGGCCTACTTGTGTGGAATGAAAAAAATACTCCCCCTCCCCCCGCCGCCTTCAGATTTCTGGCGACATGCCTGGTTTCAGACACACAGAAAAGGGTGGAGCTTTTGAAACTGGCCAGCGGGTTAAAACGCAAGCATCAATACTAGGGGGAGGCCAAACTGTGTGGCCCTGGGTGCCCGGCAAAGGCAAAGTGCTGGGGTCCCTCTCCTGCTGGCTGTCAGGCCTTATTCCGCATCACAGAGGGGCGGACTGAAACTGCCAGCTGCTTGCAAAGCAAGAGGAAGAGCTGCTGAGCTGGGCATGGCAGCCCACTATCGAATGACTTGGGCCTGACCCTATACAGGCAGAAGCTTCTCCAATTATCTAGCACCATCCGTTCTTAGACACAGCGGGCACTTTGAGGACTAGTCCAACGATGCCCACCACTGCTTCTGGTTTCTCTAAAAGAGGATTATGAAAAGTGCACAGAGACATCTTAATTTCAACTCGCTCCTCACTAGTTCTCCGTACTGAGGATGATCTAAGCCAACATTAAATCCTAGACTGGCTGCTCTCAACAGCTGCATAGCCAGAGCATGCCAAGGACTCACGTTGCCTGAGGAACCCATAACAAAGAAGGAACAGTCACTGTTACATCGACAACAACAAACCACATGCGGTAGTAAAGAGTAATAACAGTAACAGTGACCACTCTGAGGGCCTTCTTTATACCTTCTTACAAGTCAATACGAACAATTATGTAAAGTAGGCTTATCGTCAGGTGAGGAAAGCTTACAGAAGGCCAAGTGCTGTGGCCCCAGAGCAGTTTATTGGTGGGGTCAGGAAGCAGCCTGTGTCTACCACTGCACGTGGTCAAATCTTCCTGAACGTGACGTCACAATGTTCTGATTAGGATATGTAGTCAAGACGTAACTAGAACACAGTTTGGGAGCTCGGGAGAGCCAGTACTTGGCATCTCCATTACTTGCACGGATGACTGACTCAACAGTAACAATCACTGCTGCATCAGGTTCGTATAGGTCATCCTTGGCCAGAAATCGGTCTTCAACTCCAGTGTGTTTTGCCAGGGTTCTAGAGACCTACGGACGGCTCAGCAGAGATACTGTCACCATGGGAAAACCAGCTCAAAATCTGCCTGGAAAGTGAGCACATGCAGCATACACCAAAGCCTCTCTCTCTCTCAAAAATTTCAGCTACTCGTCATGCACTTGGGTTATATTCTCCATGCAGTCAAGACTTACATAGGCCGGTTTATAGGGGGTGCTGGAATCTGAGGGGATGGGCTGTACGCTCCTATCACTTCCCATTGGTTTGTAGCGATGCTTGGGACAGGAAGGGCTGTCAGGAACACGCCACGAGTGGTCCTCAGAAATGGATTTCCCTGAAACGAAACACAGCAAGTGACCGTCTATTCTCTCTAACCGAAGGATTCATACTTAGTTCCACAAAAAAAAGGTCACGGGTAACATGGCATCACGTTATAGTATAATATGAGTTTCGCAGCTTTCCTTGCAAAGCATGCACGTTTGCAAAATGTCAGTATGTCCCAGAAGGGAATGAAATGACAGGCATGCAACTGAGCAGCACTGTGCCTTCACTAGATGGGTTCACGATGGAGCAAAATGAACAGATTTTTTTGCAGGATGAGTAGTGATTTGGAGCCGGAGCATCTGGTGGTGAGGACAGTAGCAGCAAGGCCAGGTCGGGGCGTGGGGTGATGGGCAGAAGGACTGAAGGCCTCTCAGGAGTGGGGGAGAGCAGATATCAGGATGGACCTGGGGACCAGAGGGCCGCTCGCGGCTCTACCCCACCACTGCACGTGGCGACGGGGCAGGGAACATGGGTTAGAGCTGCAAGTCGAGGAAAGGAAGGTTTCTCCTCCTGTGGCAGATGCAGCCATACCTTTGCTCCTACCCACCCATCCTCTTCCCAGGAAATACCATAAGCAAGGCAGGAAGGCGTTCCAAACCAAGTCACCATGGAGAAAGCTTGGCCTACGCCAAAGAACTTCAGTTAGATGGCGGGTTGGGTGGGTGGGGGGGGGGGGGGGGATAAAAATTTTAACAGACACCATGAAAAATTCCCTTCTGCACAGGCCCGAGGGAGAGGAGAGGGATAGCGTGGAGACTGCTCCTGTCCGGACGGGGTTCTGTAAGGAGCACGCAGGTACGTGTGAGTATGGCAGTGTAAATACACCATGACGCAAGGACCGAGGCGCATGGTGTCCACAGAAGGCAGAGGTCAGACATGACACATGGGAGCGAGGTTTAGGATGCAGTGTTTAGCGCCACAAGAGGCTGCCATGTTGAGACACATGCACGGTCAGGGGCCTACCAGAAGACGCTTTCAAAGTTTTTGTGGTCATTTTAAGATAGGCCTCAGGACTTTCAGGGATTTCTATATCTGAAAAAGAATAATGTCATTGTCCTCGCTGCAGGCATCTGTAGATGAATGCCCATGTATTAAGTTAAAACAGTAGAAACATCGTCAGCTAGGAGGAGAAAAGTAATGACCTTTGAGCTGTTTTATTAAAAAGGTTTAGAAAACCAAAAGGATATTTTTCAGCCAACTCTTGACTCTCTGAAGCAGTAGTGGGGGGGTGGGGGTCCACAGAAAGAATGCAGACAATCTACTGATACTCTGAAGAACTCAATTGGAAAGGTCACTGATGAGCGTCCCAGACAGCCAGAGCCATCAGGGAACAGCCTTAAGATCCCCAGGTGAATTTTGTTCCTTGTTCCCTTTCATTCCCCTGGGATAGGAGCGAGCCACTCTCTGGGAAGTCAAAGTGGGCAGGACAGCACACAAGAAGCCATAGAGGTCTGGGGCAGCCATGAGCTGGACTCTCGGTCATCCAGAGATGGCCGTGTTGCTACGGTGCTAAAAACATAACCAAGTGGGTCAATGTCAAGGGCTCTGGAAACATGGGTCGTTACCTGACAGCGCACTGTAGTAGGGGCCTTCCTCATCATCTTCGTGAGAGGAGGAGCCCCCCACGTCACCTGTGTGATCCCACTCCAGAGGGATGGAGTCCACGCTAACGGGGGTCTCACAGCCAGACCGCTCGGGCCCTGGCGCTGGGGGCACCAGATGACAAAGGGACTGAGGGGAAGAGGGCTCCTCGCTCTCTCTCCTTTTTCGCCAAGAGTCAGCCTGGAGTTCTCTGGGGTCCTCCATGTCTGTTTCATTCTCGGAGGCCTCCTTTTCATCTTCCAAGCCCTGAAGTGGGGATGTCCAGTTTTCAGAATGAACCAAATTATAGGCTTGTGGTTGTGGGGTACACGGGGGGTCTACCTGTCTGGTAGGTCCTGAAAATGGCCACTCTCCACATTTCTATGGCAGCATGAGAAAAGAATCAGGATTGGGGCACCAGGATGGCTCAGGCATTCAAGCGTCTGATTCTTCACTTTGGCTCAGGTCAGGATCTCATGGTTTGTGAGATTGAGCCCCGCGTCAGGCTCTGCACCGGTAGCACGGAGCCTGCTTGGGATTCTCTCTCCCTCTTTCTCGCTCTCTCTCTTTCTGCCCCTTCCCTGGCTGGCTCTCTCTCAAAATAAGTAAACTTAAAACAAAAAATTTTTTTAAATAAGAATCAGGTTCCCAGGGCCCGTTTGTGATTATTCTAATTTAGATGCTCCAGTGTGGGGCTTAGAATCCATATTTTCTGCAAAGCCAGCTTCTTTCCTAGGAGAAACCTGACATTTGATGGTGTAAGTTAAATAGCTTTACCTAGAAGAATATGGAGGCCAACGTTTTATTAGTGGTTAATGGCAGGTTTCTCCACCAATCAGAAAATTTAAATTAAAAAACAACATTCAAAGGCCATTAAGACTATTTGGGCTAAGATTCACAACTTCATGACCATACGTACCAGGTTCTTTCTTATCCCTCAATCTTATTGCTCAGGATACAGAACCTTTTTCTTCCTAGGTTGTAATGCCTTGATCGAAGAAAAACACCTATAAACTGCTCTATCTAGAGATGAGGGAACCGTATGGTGATTTTTTTAGGCTATGTCTGATGAGGAAATAACTATCAAGTTAGCCAGTTGGAGACACAAAAAAGGAAAAAGTGGCCAGTCATGTTGCTCAATATAGTTATCATTAAAGCTTCTGGCACACAAAGGCAATGAACTTTGAAGAGCAGCCTGAATTCCACCTCAACTTCCCAGAAGGTCCCTATGTCAAGGAAACCTTCACCGTTACTTTGGAAAACAGGTGCTTTTGTCATTTCACAGGTGAGAACTGGGGTGCCTGGCTGGTTCAATCGGCTAAGCATCCAACTCTTGATCTGGGCTCAGGTCATGATCTTGTGGTTTGTGAGTTCAAGCCCTATGTCGGGCTCTGTGCTGATAGTGTGGGGCCTGCTTGGGATTTTCTCTCTCCCCCCCGCCCCCGTGCCTTTCCCCCCACTCATGTGCATACTCTCTCTCTCAAAATAAATAAATAAATTAAAAAAAAAAATTCAAATTTGAGAACAAAGCACCAGAAAGGCACAGATATTCAAAGCTCCCGATACTGGGGCATCTGGGTAGCTCAGTCCGTTGAGCATCTGACTTCAGCTCAAGTCATGATCTCACACAGTGAGTTCGAGCCCCACATCGGGCTCTGTGCTGACAGCTCAGAGCCTGGAGCCTGCTTCGGATTCTATGTTTTCCTCTCTTCTCTGCCCTTCCCCCACTCACACTCAATCTCTCTCTCTCTGTCTCAAAAAGAAATAAAATGTCAAAAAAATTTTTTTAACTCCCAGACACTGTGAGGAAAAGGCCAACACATTCCCAAGTTAGTGCTGTAAGCAAAACCAGAACGCCTATCAGCATATCCTAGGATGCAGACACATGTTGGGAAAGCGCAGGTGAGGGGAGCAAGAACTTTCAGAAATGCCATCCCTTCCATCGGGTAATGGGAGTCTCCAAGTAAGTGTGACTCTGCAGTAATAAAAGCAGAAATAAAACTGTTCTGCTTTCCTTTTCACCACAAAATACATCACAGTTGACCATGACATAGGTTTCTAGTTCTGTAAAAATTCGGTCAAGTTTGAGTAGCCCATTCGGTGAAACGTCAAGGTTGGGTGGCCTGGAGGCCGTCCGCGCGAGCGAGGCGCTCCCCTTACCGGCGCGCGGGAGGTGAGCCTGCGGTGGAACCGTGAGACTCGGCCGAAGACCTCCTGGCAGTAGCGGTGCAGCTCCTCCAGCTCGTCCTCGATCAGCACGGCGTCCAGGGGCTCGCTCTTCTGAATCAGCTGCTCCCCGAACACAATGAGCTGATCTATCTTGTTGGTGTTTAGTGTAATTTCCTGCTGGAAGCCCTAGTTAGAATAGGAGAAAGAAAGGATTTCCAAGAAGGAAAGTTTCCCTGGGGATCCAGACAATGTCTGCTGTTCCTTCACCTGGGGCTCTAGCTTCGTCGATTTTTAACAAAGCGACAATAAAGGCTTAATAATTTTAAATGACTGTAGGGGCGCCTGGGTCAGTTGAGTGTCCGACTTCGGCTCAGGTCATGATGTGGCGGGCTGTGGGTTCGAGCTCCGTACTGCACTGTTTGCTGTCAGCACAGAGCCAGGAGCCTGCTTTGGATCCTTTGTCCCCCCCCCCCCCCCCCCGTCTCTCCTCCTTCCCTTCATGCACTCTCTCTCAAAAATAAAAACATTTAAAAAATAATAATAATAAAACGACTGTACATATTTTTTTCCCCTCTCCCTTCTGGACATGGGCTTATCCAATTAAAACAATCCTAAAAGTTTGGCAGGGACAGACATCTACTGCTATTGGATGTGAGGGAGAAAACCTGTCTTATTAACACTGGGTGAAAACGAAATTTCCCCAAATAAACCACCCACCGGCATTTGCTTCTGCTGACAGTAGTCATCTCGCTGATGGTGTTATACCAGGGAAGGCAAATTTCTATTTTTCAACTTCTTTTAAAAGCCAAGGAGGGGGGCGCCTGGGTGGCTCAGTCGGTTAAGCGTCCGACTTCGGCTCAGGTCATGATCTCACGGTTTGTGGGTTCAAGTCCTGCTTTGGGCTCTGTGCTGACAGCCAGCTCAGAGTCTGGACCCTGTTTCAGATTCGGTATCTCCCTCTCTCTCTGACCCTCGCCTGCTCATGCTGTCTCTCTCTCTCAGAATAAATATTAAAAAGATATTTTAAAAATATTAAAAAAAAAAAGCCAAGGAGGGAATTATAGTGAAATTAAAGTGAAATTCACCCATTTGGGAGAGCAGAAGAGATCTGTTCTTGGCCTCATTCTTGACACAGATTTTCTTCCTGTCACACCCCGCATGTTGCACTCAGACTTGAGAGCTGGGTAAAGGGCACCTTATGAAGTTCTGTTTGGAACTCCATGGATGATTATAAATGACAAAGGATAAAGAGCCTTGTTCCAGTGACCCCTCGACTGTAAGGAACAGTATTCTTGCTCGTGATAACCCTGCAGGACACAGGTGGGTGTAGCCTGGCTGCTTTAACAATTCTGGAATCTGCTCTCAGGGTATCAGGTGAAGTTTGCGTTTGGCCAGCTCTCCGGTGCAAAAGTGCATTCTTCTGAGGAGCCAAGGAAGCAGGCCTTACATTCAGCTGGCGCATCTTGTCGTCGGCGTCGCTCTCTGAGAAGTGCTCCACGTTGGTCAGCTGCAGGTCCATCTCTGTGAGCCACACTAGAATGCTCTCCCTGGTCCCCTCGAATTCTTCCCTTTGGTTGGTGAAATGCTGTGAAAAGGGGAAGTAAATCTTGTGTTTGTGTTGATGGCAGAAGAGAGTTCAGGGAGACAGCAAGGTGACTTTTGGCCAAGAGGAAAGGGTACCGCAGGAGACCCACAGGGCATCAGGGGGCTGGGGGAGGGGGGGAGGGGGCAGGTCTGGAGCCCGGGCTCTGGTCCTGGCTGTGTGATTACAAACAAGTGCCCCAACTTCTCAGTCTTCATGTCTCCTTAGACAAGTTAGGATGTGGGACTGTGCACTAGGATGATTAAGGTCCTTTCAGCGATTCTGTAATTCTCTGAGTCAGTGATTTTCCCAACCTGCCCTTTGAGGAACTCCCTCAAAGTCTAGGCTAGGCACCTTGCCTGTTTTTACTTGTTAGCCTTGTGTTGAAGCTTTTGCTTAACAGAAAGATTTAGTAGCTTCAAGATGGAAAAGGTATAGATCTCAGGGTTGAGCCTGGCCTAGTGCCCCATCTGCTCTCACTGAGGCAATCCTGAAATGTGTGTTCCCTCAGAGAAAGAAGACCCAGACTTATCGCCTCCAATTAAGGATGCCTCTTGGGTTACCACCTTACAGATGGGCAGCTGATTCTTAAACACAGCATTTGGTGCCAAATGACCGGTCACAGTCCCATCAGTAGGGGATAAGGAAATTAATGCATGGGGGTTGTCTGAAGAGCTAGCCCACTTCTTCTTGAGGGTTTAAAAATAACAAAAAAACCAGATTCTCATCTTCAAATGATTTCAAGAATGTTCTGCCCTGAGAACAGAAGCAGGGGTTAAAATTACTTCCTGCAGCCACAGACCACACCGGTCAGGTCAGTTTGCAACTAGACTCATGAACGGTAACATTCCAGATCTTCCGCGTTACAGAAATCTCAGGTGAACGTCTACTAGATTGAAAAATCCAACCCAACCTTTGAAGTTAGGTCAGTGTGCTCTGAAATTCAGAGGCTAATCACCATCGCCGAGCTCCACAATGCAGAGCGGGCTCTGTCTGCCTCTCTCACAGAACAAGAACCAATGGCACGCACGAAAACGGGCAGATGGGTAAGGTGGGCCTCTTTCCAGAGAAGAGGCACCTTTGCCACACCCGATAATGGCAGCGGCCCAGGCTCTGGGCAGTCTGAGAGCCAAAGCGCAGACCTTCCGGGTTTGCAGAATTTGAAAGACGTTACGCTTGTTACCACAAATCACATAACCAGGCCCTGCCTTCGGAGCCTATCCTCAGGCAAATAACCTCTTTTAAAACACGGATGCTGGCGGCTTTGCCTTAAAGCAAAGGGAAGGCTGACTGGAAGCCTGTTCAGAGTTTAGGCCCGAAATGAAATCTACCCATCGGTTGGCTCTAAGCCCAATACCGCATATGCGTCTCCCGGGAAGGCTACAAGTAAGGCGGGTGACGGAGACAAGGTTACTCTGAGTCTCCGCAGGACGGCCGTGACCCGCTTCTGGAGGTTGTCCCAGCGCTGGTTGCCCTCGTGCACCATCTGCTTCAGCTTGCTGGCCGAGTCCGTGCGGTTCTCCCGGGCCAGCCGCCGGTACTGCTTGTTGATGAGCTCCAGCTGTGTGAGCCGCTCGTGGATCTGCCGCTGGAACGCCTGCGACACGCGGAGGGTGGCGTCAGTGCCGAGGCACGGGGAGGGGGGGGCGCGTCACACCCGCTCCCCGGCCCGGCCAGCCTGCCTCCGGGGGTTGGCCCCCCAGGGCTGACTTGGCGGCAGAGAGCCTACATCGCCTGCCCCGAGGCTCACTAGAGAGCGGCCTCTCAAGTTCACCGCACGCATCTTGTCCGGCAAGGCTGTCTTGACAGCCGCCGGCGGGCTGCGGACTGGGCCGCCCTGGCCGGAGGTGGGGGAAGCCAGCTGCTTAAGGAAGTCCCCTGGGCTGCTGCAGGGCCCGCCCAGACGCTGGGTTCTCGGGAGCCGTGGGCTGGAGGGGGCCTTACCTCGAACCTCTTCAGCTCTTCTTTGGCATTTGTGTACAACACCTCGGAGGAATTTGGGTAGGCTGCTATCCTCTCGGCTGACTTGAGCCAATCCTCAAAGCGGGAGTAATCATCTAGAAATTTCTGCCACAGGCGCCACGTCTCTTCGATTCTGATAGGAAGAAAGCAGCTCAGTATATAACCCATCCATTTCAACTGTGAGCTTTCATTTTTTTTTTTCTTTCTTTCCCTTGATGGGTCCCCTTCCCAACACCCCTTGCTGGCACTCTTTAGGGGTGAGACCCTGATATCCTTCTTCTAAGAAATAACCAGGAATAGCCCCTTCTTGGTCAGGATACCTTCCTTCTGGGACTGCCCTTCAGAGCTCCTGAAGTTTACAGGCGTTAACAGGCAGGAGACAGAGCTTCCCTCCACCACTTTGAAGCTAGGGACACAGGGGCGCAGTGGCCAGCCACGGTTACACCTCAAGACCTGGGATTGCTGGGAAAAGCCATTGCCCTGATTACATTTTTCTTGAATCATTCATTTCATGAGCACTGGTTGCACCTACTGAGCCTTTTCTGCTAACAGCCGTGGAAGTGAAGTGCACAGAACACAGCTATTACTGAGATCAGAGGGATGCAGTGAGTTTGGTGGACCACATTTAAAACACCGAGGGGCAGCTCATTTCTTACTTCATTCGCCGTTCCATCGACATGGCACAGATGTTCCTCCAGCGTCTGTCCAGGCTTCTGGTGGTCTGCTGGATGGAGTCACACTCGGTCTCATTGGCACAGGCATCGGAGTCATGCAGGAGGACGTCGCAGATGTTAAACACTGATTCCACCCCTGCACTGTGTTGTTCGATATCTCGCTGCAGGTCCTATGGTGGTAATGGAGGAAGAACGCCTTGAGGTGGTGGCGCTGGGACGATTGGCCTCAGAGGATCTCCACTCCCCCCAGACCCCCTCCCACCCAGGGGGCACAGGCCTGGTGCATGTCCACCTTGGGATCAGTAACAATGACTGCGTTCCCCTCGTCTCTGCACAGCCCTTGTTCTGTAGCACCTGGCACAAGGCTTCGACCTTGGCAACAACTGGGATTTATTTGCTGAACTGCCTAGAGGGGGCAGGAGAGCAGGGGTACCCTCTTCTGTGAACCCACTGCCCCACACACTCTGGGGTGGCATGGGGTCCACCCAATACCACCTGACCACAAGGGCCTCCCATTTACACATGGCTCCTGGGAGGTCTTCCTTGGGAATCTCTTCAGCAGGACCTAAAACTTCAGCAACAGAAACTCTTAACTTTTTACGGGTCATAGAATTCTCGATTCTACTGAGACCTTTGTGCCATTTTCACACCTTCCCCCTACTCGCACCGCCTCATGCATTCAGCGGCATGCTGTCCATGGCCTCTCCATGAGCCCATCCCAGGGCTCCATCGGCCCAAAGGAAGAGTCTGGGAGTGGAGACCCCACCTCCCCAACGGATGGGGTCCCCCTGAGGGGGCAGGGTCTCTCTGGAGTATCCTGCTATGATGGTAACAGTGCTACAGTTCCCAGATTCCGGAAAAGAACATTCATGAAGAGACAGTGCATGGTTATGGGGAAAAATGAAAACTCTGTTTTAAGAATAAATACAGCTTTGGGGCGCCAGCGTGGCTCAGTCCGTTAAGCATCTGACTCTTGGTTTCGGCTCAGGTCATGGTCTCATGGTTTCATGAATTTGAGCCCCGTATCGGGCTCTGTGCTGATGGCGTGGAGCCTGCTTCGGATTCTCTACCTGCCCTCCCACCCCCACTCTCTGCCCTTCCCCTGCTCATGCTGTCTCTGTCTCTCTCAAAAATAAAGTAAAAAAACCCCACAACTCTTAAAAAAAAAAGAACAAGAATAAACATGGCATTTTCAGGTATCATCCAGAGAATACTGCAAACCATGAAAAGGCCAGAGGGGGGAGAAAGGGGGAGCCTACTTATTTTGCATTCTGGATGAATTAGGCTTCTCTGGATATGTAACTTCTGTGGGTAAGTGAAAACAGACCACACTACTAATCTAAGTCTCCAAATGACATTATGAAGAAATAGCAAAGACAAAGCTAAGTAAGCCACTGTTAGCTTCAATTCCCTGGGTTAAACAGGAGAGATTATTTTATAAACTGCCTGCCACTATCCACAGAAAGGCAACATACAGTTCATTCTGGGTCACCTCAATATTTAATAATCTTGGAAATGACTATTAGATAAGACTAATATTTTCTTACTTTTCTTCTGATAAATGTACAATTTTGATAATTCTCTGTCCAGGTGGATGTGAAAGAATAAAATGTTAATGCTCAAACCACATTTTTTATCTTATTTAAAAAAAATTTTTTTTAAATGTTTTATTTATTTCTGAGAGAGAGACAGACAGCATGAGCAGGGGAGGGTCAGGGAGAGAGGGAGGTACAGAATCTGAAACAGGCTCCAGGCTCTGAGCTAGCTGTCAGCACAGAGCCTGATCTGGGGCTCGAACCCATTAACTGTGAGATCATGACCTGAGCCGAAATCGGACGCGTAATCGACTGAGCCACCCAGGCGCCACTCAAACCACATTTTAAATCAAGCAGTTTAAAAAAATTTTTTTTTTAATTTGAGAGAGAGGGAGAAAGAGAGCACAAACAGGGGAGAGGGGAAGATGGAGAGAGAATCTTAAGCAGGCTCCATGCTTAGCATGGAGCCCGAAGTGGGGCTTGATCCGACACCCTGGGATCATGACCTGAACTGAAACCAAGAGTAGGTCGCGCAACAGGCTAAGCCACCCAGGCGTCCCTAAATCAGTCATTAACAGGATCCCAACCGATTAAAAATGAGCACAATGAGTTATATTAAGAAAATGTGTTATCTAGGGGCACTTGGCTGGCTCAGTTGGAGGAGCATGTGACTCTTGGTATCGGGTCGTGAGTTTGAGTCCCACGTTGGGTGTAGAGATTACTAAATAAATAAATAAATAAGCTTAAAAAAAAAAAGAAAAAGAAAGAAGAGGGTGCTTGGGTAGCTCGGTCGGTTAAGCATCCAACTCTTGATTTTGGCTCAGTCATGATTCCACGGTTTTTGAGATCAAGTCCTGTGTTGGGCTCTGCACTAACAGTGTGGAGCCTGTTTGGGATCCTCATTCTCTCCCTCTCTCAGAATAAATAAATACATGAATAAAATGTTGAAAAAGGGAGAAGAAGAAAATGCATTTTCTAGTTTGTCACCCTATGTGTCCTATGAAGACACATGTACAGGGAGTTTTTTTTTTTTTTTTTTTTAAAGCTCTGCAGTCCAGGACAAATGGTGGAAGTCTTCCTAGGGTCCATGCAAGTACCAGCTTTAAAAATTACTAGGTTCAAATAGAATTCAAACTTTAAGAATTCTAACAGGCTCACAGAATTGTCAGGGGCTTCCTAAAATTTATTGGCACTGACAAATGTCTCTTTAGACTTTATTAAAAGCATAAGGAATCCTAACATTGGTCCTATATGAGTAATAATGACAATTTTAATTGAAAAATGGTACCTGCCCCTGACCTCAGCTGGTAGGGGTGGATAGGATCTGGTTGAAAATTACTGAAAAGGTCTAGTCTACGGATAAATGTGAATTCTGCATATCTTAATAGGCTGTTTGTAGTTTCTCTATCTTATTTCTTCAGCTTATATTGAATAAAATGGCTAGAGGAAACTGATTAATACATAGGGTGAATGGGAGCAAGAAATGAGCTCTATGATAGTTTCTAGAAGACCATCAACATTTTGGTTAAAAAAAAAATGGAAATTTTCAAAATTTCCAAAACAAATGTTTAAAACACTACAGCATGATCTACAGATTTTAACATGCACTAGTTACTTTGTAAAATATAAAGTAGTGAACCATATTTAAAAAGTGCAAACCACTTAAGCGCTAAATGAGGGACATCTTACGAACTGAACTGATCCCACCGCTAATTCCCATTGAGGCACGAGCACGCACAGTTATTAGATCTCAAAAACTGTGTAAGCACAATTTTGAAGAACAGGAGTTAAGAAACAACATAAAACAATGTGAAAGGCTTTTGCCAATGGTCCTGGAAACCGTTCGCTTTGTGTTTCTGTTCCTGAGCAGCTGACCAACAGCACTGAAGCTGGGAAGGAGTGTGTGTACTGTGTACTGGCTGGGGGGGGGGGGGGGGGGGGGGGGGGGGGAGGGGCTGGGGGGAACAAGAGGTCAGGGAGAACATCACCAGGAAAGGTGGAGAAGCCAAAAGGAACTAAAAAAATAAGATAAAAGGAGAAGAAAAGAGAGTCGGGCTTGGGGGAGGGAAGGGGGCAGAAAATCACATGGGGTGGGACCCCCACGGTGGCTCCAGATTGACTCTGGGGGAGGGGCTTGGGTTGGCAAGCCAGTGGCACAGAGTGGTCTGGTTCATGCTTCACAGAGGTTGGTCTGCTGGGAAGGGGGCTACTGGTAATTACAGTGTGTGGGGGGGTTCCTAACGGCACTGTCTCCCCATGTTACCATCTCGCACCCCACAGTGAACCAGGAAGCCAAAGAAAACAGAAGTGCCCAAGGTTTAATGAAGTGGTTCAAGGATTGAAAGTGTCACAAAAGTTGCCACCACTTCCTTTGAAGATGATCTATGCCACAGAAATAACAATACAACCCTTCTTGCCTGAGGAGTTCTACAGAAGAGAAACAAAAAGCACTCTGATAAGGTCTGCCCTCTTACCCCGGGTGCTCCCAAGAACAGGGTAATGAGGATCTGGGAAGCATGGCTCCTAATCACTTTTGCAGAAGGCACTACGAGATGATTCCAAACCTTTAGGTCTTATTTCTGGAAACAATCATGTAACTTATATTTAACTAGTGATAGAAATTCAAGTAAGGTTTTTTAATGGTCCATATATAATTCTTTTGTGTGACACATTTCTGTTTTTAGTGGTTTTTGATGGAGACTTTAAGGTCTGGTTTTGGTATAATTTTTTAAAATACTATTTTTTTTTAATGTTTATTTTTTGGGGGGGGAAGGGCAGAGAGAGAGGGAAACACAGAATCTGAGGCAGGCTTCAGGCTCTTAGCTGTCAGCACAGAGCCCAACGCGGGGCTCAAACCCACAAACCGGGAGATCATGACCTGAGCCAAAGTCGGACGCTTCACCGACGGAGCTACCCAGGTGCCCCTAATTTTTCTTTTTAAACAAAAATAGTAAAAGTTTGCTCAGGACAAACAGAGAATGGTAAGCAGAATATTGGCTGCCCAAAGATGACCATGTCCTTGTCCCCAGAACATGTGAATATGTTGGGCTACATGCCACAGGAGAATTAAGGTTGCTAATCAGCTGACTTTAACACCCTGGATTATCCAGGTGAGCCTAGTGTGATTAGGGTCCTTAAAAGTGGCAGAGGGAGGGGCGCCTGGGTGGCTCAGTCAGTTAAGCGTCCGACTTCGGCTCAGGTCATGATCTCCCGGTTCGTGGGTTCGAGCCCCATGTCAGGCTCTGTGCTGACAGGTAGCCTGGAACCTGCTTCAGATTCTGTGTCTCCCTCTCTCTCTGACCCTCGCGTGCTCACACTGTCTCTCTCTCTCCCTCTCAGAATTTAAAAAAAAAAAAAAAAAAAAAAAAAAAAAGCAGAAGGCAGTAGAAGAGTCAGAGGGAGGAGGGACCATGAAAGAAAAGCACAGCCAGATGCCCTGTTGCTGGCTTTGCAGATGGAGGAAGTGGCCAGGAGCCAAGCAGTGTGGGCGGTCTCCAGAAGCTGGATAGGGTAAAGAGATGGATTCTCCCCTGTGGCTGCCAGAAAGAAATGCAGGCCATCTGACAACTTCATCTTAACCCGGGGCCAGACTTCTGACCTCCAGAACTGTAAGTTAATAAGTTTGGATTTAAGTGGCTAAATTTGTGGTAATTTGTTAAAGCAATCATAGAAAACTACAACATCTAACTTCTTTACAGTAATGGTAGTCCTAAACACCAACTCTTTAATTGGCTTTGGATTACTACGAGATAAGAATTCCATGATGGTGATTCTGTAAAGAGGGAAGCTTCAAATCAACCACAGTGAAATTATGGGCCATTTCAATACAGGACCAAACAGGGCCAGGAGGATGGCAGCTGCTTCAAATTTTGTATCCTTTGGGGGGGATACACTCCTTGTAATTTAATGATGTTTTGGCACACTCAGGTTTATAAAACGTTAACACACATTATTGGCTCTTGCCAAATTTAGCCATTCATTCTTTAAGAGGAAGAATACACCCAGCTTCTACACTGTTTACCTGAAAAAAAACTCACCACTCAGGATGAATTGCTATTTGCAAGACCTGTCAGTAAAGAGACCATTCAGGGAATTTACCTTAGTGGATCAAACTTTCAAACAAAGCTGATAATGTCCAGTAGCTGTGACTCCACTGAGAAGGGCATTAAAATAAAATCTCTGCAATGTCCATTAACATGGTACTTCTATCAGTGTTCATTTCTCCACAAAGCAAAGACAGAATTGAGATGGTCTCCATGAAAAAGACATACTTACATTTCTGAGGCTAAGTATTTTTACTTAGTAGCATTGCTAAATCACACTGATTTGGAAGCCACGATAATAGGCATTGTTTAAACAGTAACAGTAATAGACTGAATAAAGATCTAAGTCAAGAGTAATATCAAATACTTGGCTCTGTTTTATGGTAGCATGAGATGTCACTTATTCCCATTAAAAGGACTGACTTGAACTCAAGGGAATTTGTCATCAATTTATCATCACCTTCTGCCCTCGAATCTGTGAGAAGTTTTAGCCCCCAATTCTTTCTCTAAGAGTAGCTGTTTTTTGTTTTTGTTTTTAATTTTTCAAAAATGTTTTATTTATTTCTGAGAGAGAGAGAGAGAGAGACAGCGTGAGCAGGGGAGGGTCAGAGAGAGAGGGAGTTACAGAATTTGAAACAGGCTCCAGGCTCTGAGCTGGCTGTCAGCACAGAGCAGGGCACGGGGCTTGAACCCACAAACCATGAGACCATGACCTGAGCCGAAGCTGGATGCTTAACCAACTGAGCCACCCAGGCGCCCTTAAGAGCAGCTGTTAACTGTGGGTGAATTTTCCTGGTGAGCTGACAGACAGCAGACAACAAGGCTTTGGAGATAATGTGAAGAAAATAGATACGAATCTGAGAACTTGAGGACAACCATATTGCTTATATGGTCAAAACAGAATCTGCTCATGGATCTGACAAAAACCCATGAAGGTGATGGAAATCCTTACTGAAAGGATAATATAAACTTAATTTTTTTTAAGTAGGCTCCATGCCCAGCATGGAGCCCAGTGTAGGGCTAAAACCCACAACACTTGAGATCAAGAACTGAGTCAGAGTCACTCAACTGACTGAGCCACCCAGGTGTCCCAATATAAACTTAATTACATGTTTTTTTTTTAGGGTTTATTTATTTTGAGAGAGTGCAAGTGGATGCTAGAGAGGGACAGAGAGAGAGGGACAGAGAGAGAGGGAGAGAGAGAACCCTAAGCAGCTCCTCACTGTCCGCACAGAGCCCGACGTGGGGCTCAATCTCATGAATCTCTAGATCATGACCTGAGCCTAAATGAAGAATCCGGTGCTTGGGGCACCTGGGTGGCTCAGCTGGTTAAATGTCTGACTTTAGCTCAGGTCATGATCTTGCGGTTCATGGGTCTGAGCTCCACGTCGGGCTCTGTGCTGACAGCTCGGAGCCTACAGCCGGCTTCGGGGTGGGGGTGTGTGTGTGTGTGTGTCACAGCTCGGAGCCTACAGCCGGCTTCGGGGTGGGGGGGGGGTGGGGTGTGTGTGTGTGCGCGTGTGTGTGTGTGTGTGTGTGTGTGTGTGTCAGTCAGTCACAGCTCGGAGCCTACAGCCGGCTTCGGAGTGAGTGAGTGAGTGAGTGAGTGTGTGTGTGTGTCTCTCTCTCTCTCTGCTCCGCCACCTCTCATGGTCTCTCCCTCTCTCTCTCTATCAAAAATAAACATTAAAAAAAAAAAAAGAGTTGGATGTTTAACTGACTAAGCCACCCAGGAACCCCTAAACTTAGTTTTAAAAATAAAGTCAAACTCCAGGCACTGCATACGAGAATAAACATGACTATGAGCCCATGGAAGTGAGGAACAGTCGGTGACATCAGTGAGCACCCACCAGGTTAGTGTGATGATAACAGGGGAAGGACTTGGTGGTTCACACTGTGGAGTTGCCAGGGTTGGCGCAAAGGGTACGTAACTGATGAGAGAAATGTGCAGAGTACCCGAGGGGCTTCCTAAGCATGTTGTTTTATTATACAACCCCCCCTTTTTTTTGGACACTGTATCAGCTCTATTGTCCCACGAAAACTTTTCCTGGTTAAAAAATTGATTTTTCTTTCAATTCATTGCCTTCCAAAACGGTATTACCAAAAACAAAACCAAGAGCCAAGCTTAAAAAAATACACAAGCAAAAACCCTTATTTACCACTAAGACTAAGACCTCTATGTCACAAAGAGGGATGTGAATGCGGTGGAAGATGGGCACTCAAGAGAGGTCATCTCACACATACAAGGGCATGGACAGGGGGTTGCTTTTCTCTGGAAAAACACACCAATATGATGAAATGTGAACATGCTAAAGGGCACAGCCAACAGAGGGAAGGTCTGAGTTAGTCGACAGCATAGACACCTACACTCTTACAAAAGTTTGGTTCCCCACCTGCTGCTCGGCGAGCCTCTTCTGGATCTCTTGATCATTGCAGACGTCATAAACAACAGGCTTAGAGAGCTCTGACTCAATCCGAGCCAGCCAGGTGCGAAGGTTGCTCATGTTTTTGTCTAACTGCTGAATAAAAGCAAAGGTCTCCTTCAGCTTCTTCACCCTAAACACAGTTGCAGGAAAACAAGAGGTAAAAAACAAAAGCCCGATGTTTAGTGGTGACAACAATGTGCGAACAAGTGTGTCGCAGGATAAAAAGCAGCTTATGTTGGTTATTGACTTTATTGCAGGAACAGCTCTCACGTCATGGGTAGGAGTTTTCACAGAATATGTGACACTTTACAAATTGCTGGTCTGGTTGATTCTCAAATGGACCAGGAGTGAATCCACCCATGCAAATATAAAGTCCTGTCATTCCCAGAGTGGGATCTCCTAAGACCCAGAACATCTATCTAGGGCTGCAGAGGAAAGAGGAGATGCCATCTCGTTCTCTCTAGGTAAAAATAACCACACTTGATTTCCGTCCAGGTTCTGTCTTGGGTAAGCCTGAGATTGCGACGGTCAGGGACATTCCCCGATGGTTTAAAGGTGTTACGTGCCTGGCTCACTTGGTGATAGCCGGCCCATGATGACGCGCAGGGAACCCTCCTCTTGAGCAAGTGTAAAACATACGCTAAAGCCCACCCCATTCAATCTAAGGGGTTGAGGGTGCCGTACACACATACCCAGCCCATCATGGGGCAGCTGTATCAGCCAAAAAGGGAGGAGGGAGTGTGGTGGGAGGCTGGGGCCAAGATAATCTGCAAGCACAGTTCTAAATCCATCCACCTCCTACTCCGTGTGGAGCAGATTGGAACCAACACACAGCGTCAGGATACTTGGTGAGCTCACTGGCGCGTCAACGTACTGTCAAGGCGAAATGACACAGCTGCTGAGGGAAAATCATCTTTACGTGGATCCTGAAAATAAAACGCTTCCATCAACTGCTTTCCTGGAAGTCCTCGAGTGAGTGAGGGCTCGATCTGGTGATCTGTGGGATTCTTAGCGAACCTCAGAGACTTGAAGTAACAGCTAGAAGGCCAAGTTCCCACTTATCGATACTCAAGTTACAAGGTGCTTTCAGAACTCCATGCTACAGCACTGGAAAGAAAAACTGAGGCACCAGCTCCAGCTCACCAGAAACGCACCGCATTCCAGGCCACCATCATTTCTTCCTGGGGAGCCTGTGACCAGGTCCCTGGCGTCCTCCTTCCCCTCCTCCTCCTGCCCACCTGTGGGTCTGTGGCCAAAGTGTACATTTGGGATGGCAAGTCGGATCCATTCATGCTCAAATGCTCCCGCAGTCCTCACCTTACCCTGACCTATCAGCTTAATCCCCTGACCTTTTCAAGCATTCAGCGGCCTCTCTGCCGCCATCCCTGCACTCTACAAAGTGGCTCCCCCTTCCCTTCTCCTGGAGCTCCCATTGCTGCGCACCGGAGACCCTGGGCACTCCGGCAGTACCGGGACCTCCTGCCCTGTGTTGTGTCCGCGTCTCTTAATCGCTAAGAGCCCACACTGGCCAGGCTGCACGGGGCTCCCTACTTCTGCAAGCAAAGTACCTCCCACACTGCCTGGTGGGCGCTGTTGACAAACATTTGTCGCATGAATACATGTGTATGAGCACTTCCACCACAAGCCATTATTTAAGTAGACCACAGAATTGTGTGCTTTAACTTTTATTTTTCACACCCTACCATCAACCAAATCAACCCTGGGGACTGACTTCTAGCTCCAGCTCTCGTGCCGGCTAGTTTTATGATTTAGGGAAAATCCTTTTATTTTTAGCCTCTCTAGTAGGCTTCTGAGTCCCTCGAGGTTCGGGGAGGTGATAATATGTGGGTGAAGTTAAGGCCAGAGTTCTGGAAGTGAGCAGACCTGGGTCTAAGTCCCATGGCACCATTTATGGACTGCGCCTGCCTGCAAGGAGCCCAACTTTCCCGATTCCCGGTTTCCTTGTCATCTGCAAAATTATCCACCACATAGGTGTTTCTGAGATCAAAACAAAAGGGCGTGTGTAAAGTTTGGCACAGAGCAAGAACTCAATATAATACTAGCTCTTCTTATAGCCAATGGGATTACAAGACGCTACCGTAACACCACCTTTACATAACACTGGACCTCACAAAATCCTTTCATAAATATTTATTCTCAACAGTGCCAGGAGGCAGGCCAGCTTAGGAGGAGGCCATGGAGCCTGGCAGTAAAGAGCACAGACTTTGTGGTGAGGGCCTGGGTTTGAATCCTAGCTCTGTTTAAGCTCATCTGAAAAACTGTCAACAGTAGTTAGTTCCTTCCTTCACTGGGTGGCTGAGAGGGCTGAATGAGATATAAATACATGAAATGCATTTGGCACAGTGCCTAACAGAGATAAATGCCCAGAAACCACCATTGAGATGATTTTCATGGTGGTTAAATTTTTCCAACTTATAATCTTACTGCAAATATCACAAGGAGTTCCTTTCAAAGCCTCAAGATGATGTATTAAGAAGGAAGTAACAGATGAGATGGGGCGCCTGGGGGGCTCAGTCGGTTTAGCATCCGACTTCAGCTCAGGTCATGATCTCACGGTTCGCGGGTTCGAGCCCCGCGTCGGGCTCTGTGCTGACTGCCAGCTCAGAGCCTGGAGCCTGTTTCAGAGTCTGTGACTCCCTCTCTCTCTGACCCTCCCCTGCTCACGCTGTCTCTCTCTCTCTCTCTCTCTCCTAGAAATAAATAAAACATTAAAAAAAAATTAAAAACAAAAAACAAAACAGAAACCCAGTGACCTTGAAGCCTTTTGGCCCCAGGGTGAGGGGTCCAATAAGTGGGGTGGGGAGTGGGAGTGGTAGGAGGCAGGCAGGGGAATAATTTACTTGGCTTCACCAGGACTGATACTCCAGGCCAGTGACGTCCAAAATGGAGTGCTCAAGACAATCCAATGGAGTACAGGAAACAAAATATTAGACTTTCTACTGTTCTCCCATTTTTTTGAAGCGTCTACACTGGGTATACTTTATAATTCACAAACTTTATGACCACGTGGAACCACTACAGACCACGCTGACATGTACCTGTGCCAGGCCTGTCGCACGCTGTACCTGAGCGGCTCATTTAGTCCTGCCGGTGATGCCAGGAGATCAGTACTATTAGCGTCCCCGTTGGACAGATGAAGTAACTGTGGCACAGGGATTGAAGAACTTGCCCCCCCTCACGTGATCATTAAATGGCAGAGGTAGGACTCCAACCTGGGCACTCTGGTCCGGAGCTGCTATTCTTAGGCTCTTTCCTTGTGGCACCTCATGCAAACCTGCATACACCACTGTACACACATTAGCACATGAGATAACGTTAGGCACGGGATGCCTTTTGTTGCTGTTGGGAACATGATCAGAAGTCCAGAGTCAGGGCTCTAGGATACGCTGTGGGGGCAGAAGCCTGTCCACCGAGTGCTATACTTCGGGTGCCTGCAGTTGCCCCTCCATAATTTCCTTTCAGTAAGCATTTAACCATGTGCTTTGTCTTGGATCCTGCACAGATCCCAAGGAGTCAAGAGATAACTGAAACACAGGTCTTATTCCCAAAGAGCTGATTATCTAATTTAGATTGAATTTTGACATTGTAATACAATATAGGAGGCGCTTAATAAATATCTTTTGAATGAGTCAATGAGATTCACTTATACCTTCGAATCTGTCTTTTTCATAAAACACATGGCTATGTTATATGTTAAAGGAAAGAGGTAAAGGTCAGGGCATCTTCAAGCCATCTTGGCACAATACAATTTGCTGTCACATTCCAAGCCCTACATGCACCTCTTTGTATCTTAACTGCAGATCCTTGAGCATGGAGAGAACAGTACTGAAATGTAAATTATCCCATGTAGATGAATTTGATGTTAAAAGCCACCATAACACATTGTAAGCCTTAGGTCTGATACATAGAGTGATACTAGCTGGACTTGGTTTGGTTCCATACAGGGCAAGCGAAATACTGACAAGCAGGCAGGCACACAAATCACACATACACTCAGGGCAAATTAAAGAGAAAGGGAAGGGAGCAGGAAAAGGAAAGAAGAACGTTGCCAAGAAGCTATTAAAGATTCACCTAATGAGGATTTAATCTACCTCTACGTCCCAACATCGGCCTGAAGGTGTAGTATCTAAAACTGCATGATGATGTAAATAAATGGATTGTTTTTTCAGATAATCATGTCACAACTTACTGTAGGAGCCCTCACATGTACTGTTGAATTTGTATCATATTCTATAGAGATAGTGTAATCTAATTATCACCTTTCGCAGGTCAGGAAGCAGGTGTCATTTGCTAACCCAGGCAAGCAACCTCCATGTTAGGCCTCGTTAATACCACTCTTGGAAAAATCTGTATCTCGAGTTCATTTTGGGAAACAAGGAGACCCATTCAGAATCCAGACTGCTGGCACAGGGAAGCAACCACAATATTGCATTACATCAACCACCAAGGCAGTTTGTTTACGAAGTTCATGATCTCTGCACTTGCCCATGTTTTACCCAGGTGCGCTCAACAACACTGTTCTCACGTATATACATCCTATTTCTCCAGAAACAGTAAGTGTGATTTCCTGAGTTGAATTCTAATTCTGAGGATTGGAAAAAACATTTTTAGGTGCAAGGGGGAGGTTTTTCACCTGTATAGATTCTTTTTACATGAAACCAAACAAAATAATTTTTACTAAGAGTAGTTACAAATTACAAGATGTTTTGCAGGGTAGAAATGCAGAAATAATCAAGGTGAATGAAGCTTTACTTTAATAGTGACAGATCAGAATATAGTACTTATGAACTCTGTCTTCCTCTAAAACAAACAAAACCAAATCCGGTTAGTGTCATTCAATGTATTAGACCTAAGGCTTACAACATGTGATAGAGGTTTTTAATATCAGATTCATCTATAGAGAATAATTTACACATCAGTCCTATTCTCTACATGCTACAGGGTCTACACTTAAAATACAAAGACCTTAGATCATCATCATTGAAAAAAAATCCCATGCCACTGTGGGCAGCGGAACTTAAAAAATACTGAGGAAAACCGAGATGGTGGAAGTACCTGAATTTGTGCAGAAGCAAAAAGCTACTCGAGCCCGGGGGCAGCTGTCAGTTG